CACTTCAGATGTTTCACTCCCTCTCTCCCATGACGGTGAAACAGAGATGAAAGCACATAAACTGGGGAAAATGGTAATTTCTCCGCCCTTTCGCTTCTTGATTAGCTGCAATTGCTTTATGACAAAACTAATCTGGCTACTGTATGATCTATAGCTTACTTTCTTGATAATCACACTCTTAGAATGGAACCCAAATCACCTTCTAAGTCAAAGATTCATGTTATGGGGTTTATTCAAAGCCCAATAACTTTAAAATGCGTAAAAGTAGTCCTTTTAATCAGTTTTATTCTAGTATTGATATTTGGGTATTTTGCATTTAGTCCCAGTTTGATTCTTTATGTAAGGAAAAGAGCCTCTTATTTTACGGTTGTATTAGACTGTGGAAGCACTGGTTCAAGAGTGAATATATATGAGTGGATGCCTAATAATGGGGAATTCCCAATTTTGGTGAATACTTATCCTGGAAACTTAACAAGGAGTGATGGTTGTAAGTACCATTGTGTGCAAACCGAGCCCGGGTTGGCCATGTTTGTTGGAAATGCGTCGGGGTTGAGAGCTTCGTTGAAGCCTTTGATTCGCGGGGCTGAGAAGTGGGTCCCGTCCGGGAAGCGTGGGGTTACGCCTATATTTGTCTTGGCTACTGCCGGGATGAGGAGGTTGCCAATCGAGGATGCTAGTAGAGTTATGGAAGGCGTTGTGGGTATTGTGAAAGAGCATGGCTTTTTCTATCGGAAAGATTTTATTAGGGTGTTGAGTGGGAGGGAAGAAGCTTATTATGGCTGGGTTGCGTTGAATTATAAAATGAGGATGTTAGGGAACACATCGGGATCTCACACCTTGGGACTTCTCGATTTAGGAGGCTCCTCTTTGCAAGTTGTGACGGAAATAGATGAATTTAGAGAAGATGAACATGTTTTTAGGTCGAGAATTGGCTCGGTTGAACATAAATTGTTAGCGTACTCGTTACAAGCGTTTGGTTTTAATGAAGCTTTTGATAGGGCGCTTGCTATACTTAGTCAGACACAGGCACGTCGAGAAAGTAGGGGTGAAATCTTTAAAGTTAGGCATCCGTGTCTAAGTTCTGGTTTTGTGCAAAATCATACATGTCGTGGTTGCTTTGGGCAAAAACCTAGCAGCTCGGAAGATTCTAGTAGTCGGATGATGACATGTGAGTTGAACTCTATTCTTGTACTTGGCGATCCAAACTGGGAAAAGTGCAAAGTTCTTGCAATGGAAGTTGCAACCAACTCAAGCAATTTAGAGCGGTCAAAAGTTGCGGAACAGAATTGTGTTGGCTTGCTCTCATACGGAAGTAAGTTTCTTTTTTAAGTATATTACACTTTGCACACATGTATTGAATCATTATTAATTCCGAGTAGATCTATGCCTATCTATCAATAATATTTGCTCCTTTTCACTGGATGATGGCAGACTCCAGCTTTACTTCTTGATTCTTCAAAATTTCATCGAACCCTTTTTTCCTAATCCTGCAATTTATGTTCATTAAAAGAACAAAGTATAAAAGACCATATTTATGCCATCATTTTTGAATTTTATATTTTGTTAGATTTGTCAAGTAGAATGCTGACAAATCAAGTTTAGATATCCTTTTTTGAGGAAAAGAAAGTTCAGATATCATTTTTTACTTGACAAAATGAAGTTCAATTTGTCAAGTAGCAAACTTTTTCCATTCGTTTTGTGTATAATCCAACTACTATATAGCAAATTGAGTAAACTGTAAGAATTGAACGTGAAAGCCATTTAAAAGCGTCGAATGCTGACATGGTAAGTTGGTAACTATTTATGTGTGCATGTAAATTCTTATATTACATAAAGGGGGTGTTTGGTAAATGGCTGTAGCTGATTGGATTAGTGGGTTTGACTAGTGATAGCATTAGATGATTGTAGAAAAGTGTTTGGTAAATTAGCTGTCAACTTTTAATTGATTACATACAAAATGACTTTCTTAAAAAGCTGATTGAAAAAACTATTTTGAGCAGCTTTTTGAATTTTAGCATTTTGGAGCAATAAGTTGGCTAATAGTGGTCAAATAAGCCAAAATTGGCTGATAGGCTAACAATTTTACCAAACAGGGCAAAAATCAGGATGATTTCCTATCATACTAACATGCAAACTTTAAGAGGATTTCCAAATATGGAATTTATCTTTTTCTATCATTGCTGTTCTAGATATACAAACAGTGGAGTTGAACTGTTATTATTTATGCATGTTATTGTATTCTTACTGTTTTTTAACCTTCTCATTGAAGGCATAATTGAAGCTTAAGCTGTCTCATATTCGTTACTTTTTCGTTCCTATTGATGTTGGTGTAGGCGATAGAATGCAGAATCTAACTCTAAACTCTCACGAAGTCACTCGTTATCATGCTTTATCTGGATTTTTTGCTGTTTATAACATGCTAAATTTGAGCTCAAGAGCCAACTTGACGAAGATGTGGGAGACGGGTCAGGGGCTGTGTTCCAGGTCGTGGGTTGATCAGACAGACGCCAATGGGCTGTGCTTCCGTATTCTTTATATGGCATCGCTTATTAAAGACGCTCTCTGCCTTTCCAATCTGGAGATAATATTTGGTCCTGGAGACGTTTCTTGGGCGCTAGGAGCTGCACTAATTGAAGGAGGAGAACACTCGCGGCTTATTGCTACAGAATCTCGAAGAAAAGGTCTTGCCACACAACACAAATGGATGGTATCTTCTTCGATTACTTTATTTATTGTACTTGTATGTGTTCTGATGATTGTATATAGGAGTCAAATTAAATTGCCAATGCCAGGCAGGAAGATAACTTCTGGCCGGGCATCTTTGCCTTCTTACCTGTCTCCCAAACAACCTAACTAATGTGTTTTGTGGTTATACATGTGATATTTGTATATTATGGACCACAGGTTATTCATTATTGAAATATTGAGTATCTATCTAATTAAATTTAGACTGTTTTATCAGTTCCTTTCAAAACTCAAAGAACAAACCAAAGAAGAGATTTTGTTCATTATTACATGTTTCAATTACAATGTATTCATTGGGATGTGATACATTTGTTAAGCTTGATCAAAAATCCCCTGCTGCTGCTGCTTCAATAGATATCAACAGCAACCAACATATTGAAAGCAATGAAATATCAGTCAGGAAGGCTTTATGAAACATATTAGGAGTTAATGTCATTTATATGGTCCTCTGAGTATAGTGGTTTTGTTACGTTTAGTCCTAAACTTTAAAGTTAATCATCCATGATCCTTCAACTTTTAAATCTTAACCAGTTGTGGTCCTTTAAGAAGTAAAGGACCAAATCCTTTTTTTAGTAGGACCACAGCTGGTTAAACTTTGAAAGTTGAAGAACCACAACTAGTTAAAATTTGATAATTGAAGGACCATGATTGATTAACTTGAAAGTTTATAATTAAACGTGTCACCTATGGTCCTCTGAGTATAGTGGTTTTGATACGTTTAGTCCTAAACTTCAAATTAACTACCCATGATCATTCAACTTTTAAATTTTAATCAATTGTGGTCCTTTTAGAAGTAAGGGCAAAGTTGTCTTTTTAGAAGGATCACAACTGGTTAAATTTTTAACGCTGAAGAACCACAATTAGTTAAAATTTGATAATTGAAGGACCATGATTGATAAACTTAAAGTTTAGAACTAAACGTGGCAAAACCACTACCCCATATTGCATTAACTCAACATATTAGTATAATAACCACCTGTGTAGTATACTATATTATCTGCAGGCAAAGAGAAAGAATGGAGTGGGGAAAGATAGTTGTAGTAAGGAGTGTTGAATGTTGATGCACAACTAAAATCATAATGGAAATTAACCCAACAGGGTAGCTCAAGTGGCAAATGAGCTCTCTTTGTGAGGGAGAATTCCGAGATAACCCGAGTTCAATTCCCATAAGTGATGATTCCCTTTGGGCCAGTTCCCGAGCGAACGTGAATTAATCGGGTGGACTTGGACCATTAAATGAACAGAAAGACCCGGACCACCTCGTGATTTACACCAAAAAAAAAAAAAAAAAAAAATCTGGGTGTTCTTGTATACCTAGCAGATGAAGACTAACTATTGGTTAAAGAATTCAACTTCCCTAGTAAGTAACATTGTAAATATAAAACGTAGCAAATCAGCAATTGGTATATATTGTAAGCCCAGGCTCAAGTAGATATACCAGCCCTGAGCCCCTGATGATCATTCGGTTCAAGTGTGATGAGAATCTAATTCAAACACAATAGTGACAATACTATGTGTCTAGCCGTCTAGGTGAGCTAAGCTCATGGTATAATTTGCCAAACACGTAAATAATATGTAAAATAACCTGATACTCACTATCAAAACAACATAAACCACCTGGCTTTTGCATCTTCATTTCCTAAAGCTAGCTGGGATTGTTTCTTCTGTAAAGTACTCTTTCCTGACTGCATCCACTGAGCAAAATCTCACCTTGAGAGCAAGCAAAATGACAGATTAGATCACAGCAAAATGGGGTTATAAAAAGTAGGTTTTACTATGATGTACTTAAGTAAAGAGATGATGACATAAAGCCATTTGGGGTCAACTATAACCGCAAGGCTCCTGTATTATTACTTATGTGGGTTAAGGACAGGTCACTCGGTCAGAATGCAGGTGTTAGTAAATGGTGAACTGTGGTGTGGCTCAATAGTATTGCTTACCAGAGAAGCATAAGATTTAAGCATGGGTTTGGCTAGCTGCCAAACTGGTTGAAATATGAAGGGAGCTTCCACAAAAAGAACTTCACCCAATCGTCTTGGATAGTAATAGTAGAAAACGTCAAACTGCCAAAAAAAAAAAACAGAATCACTACATTAGAGAAGCTATAACAAGACAATAGATATTACTAATATTAGTCAGGCTTTGTCCAGCTAATAGGGATTGAAGTACACAGGTGTATGACCATTGACCACTAAGGAAGTTAAAGCACATAAAGTTCCATATATGTCTGTAAGCTTTTAACCTGACATAGGAAGTACTTCTTTTACCATATTTCTGTTCTGAGAATTTAATTAACTACTTTTACAATATGTTTGTTCTGAGAATTTAATTAATCTCAACATATGGAATTTGGTGAACTATTGAGGATTCAAGAGCCAGCATCTGCAACACATAAATTACCAGAAATGTGAGGAATTTAAGATCTGCATTCTGTGTGCCAAAACCTCTCAGGTCAATGATAGCTAGTATGGTTTCTGTACCAGCTGGAAATCTACTTAGTGCCTTCTCAATTAGAAAAACACATAACTTCTCATCTTCATAAGGATCCTGCTTATGTGGCCAAACATATCAAAATTATAAAGGGAGTAAGAAAGAATTAATTGAAACCAAAACTGAGGTGAGTGTGCTATAGGGTGGGATAGGCTAGAATGGATACAATTACTGTTTTCGTAAGTATATGAGTTAAATAAATTTTTTGTACAGGTATAACTAACATTCATTTAAAACATAGATATTTCAATATGTGCTTACTGCAGTCATAAGTACATCAGTTAAATGGATTTTTAGTACAGGTATAACTAACATTCAATTAAAACATTATAAATATTTTAGTATTAAATATTTAATTCAGACTATAAAAATTAAAATACTGAGTACTCAGTTAATATTAAATTCAAATGTAATAAACCATTGCAAAAGGAGCAAAATTAAAATATAAGTTGAGAAATTACAATTTGTAGTGCTATTGACCAAACAACTCTTTTTTGTTCTTCTAATTTTAAATTCAGCAGCTAATAATCTTATTATCTACCACAGTTGGAAAGATAATCAACTATAAAAAGTTGATGAAATAAAAATGATAATCCACTAACTTTGGTGCTGGAGTTACCTGTGGGAAATGTTTGGATGCCTCCACTATAAGCACAGGTCTGCCATACACATCAAAATTGTCGTGCAAATAGGCTTTCCCAGTTTCAGCTTTGCTTTTCACTGACTCCTCTGACAGGTTTGATACGCCAAATTCATGGCGCCATCTCTGATAGCGAAAAAGGAAATTTTGATATATAAAAGTCTGGGTTTCTGTACTTGTTATAGCATACAGAACAATGGTTACTACTCTTTCACAGGTGAAACTATGATATTCAACAAATTAAACCAGCAGTAAGGACAAGCGGAGCAGATTATCTTAATCCGCCACATCCTCAATCCAAAAAGAAGAATAATTTATTTCCAGTATTAAAGTTAAATATACTGAATGAAAACATGAATACAAAAGTTCAGAGAAATATTACTATAGCTTTAGTCAACTTGGAAACAGCATCTTCCACTGAAAACTTTCGGTCTTTTAGAAACCACAGTATCATCTCTTCGTCAACTCTTCCATTTTTTCCCACTGGCAGATTGCCATATTGTGAAAGCTTCTCTTTCACTTCAAGCACTAACTGTTGCATTTTGAAGTAGGCACCATCAGATTTTATTGAACTATAATCACCTAAGAATTGAAGTGAACAACAGCATCAGAATAAATCATATTGGTAAACCATCGTTAGTGAATTGAGCCTAACAATTCGAAGGACTACTAGGAATGTAACTTTGAAACTCAATAACCTAACCCAAATATGCCATTAGTTATGCTGGCCCAATCGCATGGTGAATATTTGACTTTCAAGTCAATTGTAAATATTGTCTTCAGTTCATGCATTTACAATGATATATTATTCAAACTATCCACTGTTTCCAAAAACAGCTCTATAAAGTTTAACTTTTCACAATTGAACAGCCACTTGTATTTCCCGCACTGCAAGAGAGGTTCAAATTTACTAAGAAGTTGTTATACACTGGCAAGCCTTCCCACATGCAACTCTTGACAATAGTTTTACACACAGAATGACATTACTATATGGAAAAAAGAGATTGGTTTAAAAGAAAAAGGTTTGGAAAATAAATGCAGGTACAGACACATGCACATGCACATCTGCAGAACACAACATTCAGACCTACATAGAGGGGGAAGGGGAGAGGGAGAAGTAACAGAATAATGGAAAGAATTCAGTAAAGAGGAAAAATAAAATTACATACACCACCATTCCATTGTTGGGAGAAGCAAGTGGTAGAATTATGATCCTTATTCTTCTTTAAGATATAAAGATCCCCCATCCCCCCCCCCCCCCCCCCCCTCCCTTCTATTAACTAGTGTACTAGGGGCACAGATTTATTTATTTATTTTTTATTTTTGTGTACTATTGACTCTGTTACAATACACTATCTGTTCATAGGAGCACATAATTTAATTCAATAAATCTTAAAGTTGACATCAGAACTGGTAAAATAGAAAGAATGAAGATCCAGGCCATTTAAACTAGGAATTCAGATGAATTAGTGGAGGCCACTAGCATAGATGGATAAGATTTGGTAACTAGTCGCAATTTCTAAGGTACATTTGCATCAGTCTAACTAGTAAAGTCAGAAAGCATGTGCTGCATTCATTAATGCATATCTTTACCTGCAGCAGTTTAACATGGCCTACCTTTACTATTTAAAACACAACAATATACAAAGAAACACAATTATCAAACTGCCCTCATTGTATCACCTTTCTCTACAGCTTCTATTAATCATTTTCTGCACCGAATTTTTTAAAAAAGAAACATAACAAGTTGGATACATTTAACAATATTATTTCTTCAAAAAAATTTCTGGTTAATCAAACTAAGCACCTTCTATCAAAAATGGAAAATTGGCTATCTTCAAATGGGAAAAGATTTCTGTTTCAACTAATTGTTCCAGCACAAGTGAAGATGTGAATCGACTTAGACCTTCGCTGGCAAATAGCCAATAGCGAAGTTGTGAACGAGGTCAATTTCATCAGTAAAAACACTGACCTCTCTAATCACCATACCCTCACCATTCACTGAAAGGAAAGCTTTCCCTGGCAGTGAAATATTAGCAGACCTCAACAGAATCGGAGGCCAATTAACTAAAATTTTCAGA